GCAAAGTGCTGGGGAACTTCAGCTTGGTGGTGGTTGGTTATGCACTTGATCCGCTGCTGACTGCATTGAATCTTGTTCTGGAGAGGTGTAACACGTTGACGGGGGAGTTGGAATCATATGTGGTTGTTGAGGTGGTGTATTATCTCTTTGAGGGTAGTTGGTCTTTCGTGGTAGGTGAATTTTGCAGTATTGTCTTGGAGTCGTTGGATGAGTTCTTCGCGAGGCATTGCTTTACTATATTGCTTCATGGTGTAGAACGTGACTCCTCTGTACTGTAGGGGAGGTAGGGTTGGTGGAGGAGGTGGGGAAGGTGGAGAGGGTGGAGGTGAGGAAGGTGGAGTGGATGTTGGAGCTTGGTTGATCGTGGTGGTTGTGGGAGAGACTGGAGGTGGGCTCTCATTGGTGGGATTCTGCTGTGGTTCAGTGGTCTCTGATTAGTTGAGCTCTTGAGCGGTTGGTAGTGGTGGAGGAGCAGAGGTGATGTTGATAATGTTGTTAGTGGACTTCACACTGTCACTGGACGGTGGTGATGTAGGGAATATAAAGTTTGGCATGTTGTTGAGTTTGAAGAGTTCGTTGATCGTGGTGTTGAAGGAGCCTGGTGCTGCAATATTGTGGACGTGGGCATACATGATGCAGTATAGGATTTTGGTGGAGTCACCTACGGGCAATGGTGGAGATGTAGTTGTGGAGGCCTGGAGAACTGGGGTGGAGTCAGGTAGATTCCTGGTAATGGCAGCATATGAGGTTGCTTGGGTAGTTGGTGTCTGCTGTTGTTCAAGCTGTTTTTTCAGTAGTTCACGTCTGGTAGGGCATTTGGCCACCAAGGTGTGGTGGTCGTTGTTGCAGTTGAGGCATTTGGGTGGAGTGGTGGAGGTGCATGACTTGAAATCGTGGCCTTCAGTGCCACAGGTAGCACAGATCTTCTTGTCTATGGAGGGGCAGTTCTTCGTGGTATGCTGGTAAGAATAGCAGTTGTAACATTGAGGGATGTATGTAAATTTCTCTGCTTTGATAAATGTTGGATGGATGTGGAAGTAGAAGATGGCCAGGCCCTCATTAAGAGCTTTGATTGCCATGCTGACATTGCTGAAGGTGACCTTCAGCATGGAGGAAGCTTTGGGAATTCTTGTGATGTGTTCTATCTTGGCTCAGGTGTTCTGGTCTTCAATTGATGATTTGGTTACAGAAATCTCTTGGGTTGTGATGAGTTTGTCGAGCTTCTTGAGAAACACAGTTCTCTTGGCTTTCAGGGCTGGGGATGTTAGGACTTGGAATCCACATTGGTGAAGGGTGGAGATAACTTCGGTGGTGGTTAGTTTGTCGGCCTCGAGGTCATCTGTGCAGATGACCACAAAAGCTTCCTTGAGAGAGAGGATTGCGTTGCACTTGACTCGCAGAGCACCACTGATGGGAGATGCAAGGGCTAGTTTGGACGAGTCGTTGACTGTCCCACTCACAGGTTTGATCTTTACCCTGTTAGAATAATGCATGGTGAGTAAGCAGTGCTCCCCTCCCCAGCGGGGATCGTAGGGATGTCTAAAATATTCTCATGTGCTCTTGGGGAGAGGTGTCTTCTGATTGGTCAACGCGGTGACCAATCACTGAGCGGCTTGAGGCCGCGGCTCACTCGCCGGCCGGTGCTACACGCACGTCCACACCGCCAGCTGGCTGCTACTCGAACGTCCACGTCTGCTGCCGCCGCCGCCGCCGCCCCCCCCCCCCCCCTCCTCCTCCTCCTCCCTCCTCCCCTCCTCCTCTCCTCCTCCTCCTCCTCCTCCTCCTCTCTCCTCCTCCTCCTCCTCCTCCTCCTCCACCCTCCTCCTCCTCCTCCTCCTCCTCCTCCTCCTCTCCTCCTCCTCCTCCTCCTCCTCCTCCTCCTCTCCTCCTCCTCCTCCTCCCTCCGCTCTCCTCCTCCTCCTCCTCCCTCCTCCTCCTCCTCCTCCTCCTCCTCTCCTCCTCCTCCTCCTCCTCCTCCTCCTCCTCTCCTCCTCCTCCTCCTCTCCTCCTCCTCCTCCTCCTCCTCCTCTCCTCCTCCTCCTCCTCCTCTCCTCCTCCTCCTCCTCCTCCCTCCTCCTCTCCTCCTCCTCCCTCCTCCTCCTCCTCCCTCCTCCTCCCCTCCTCCTCCTCCTCCTTCCTCCTCCTCCTCTCCTCCTCCTTCCTCCTCCTCCTCCTCCTCCTCCTCCTCCTCCTCCTCCTCCTCCTCCTCCTCCTCGAGATGAATTCAATTTTGTGTCATGTTGTTGTTATTACTCTAGACTTAATTTTGGGAGGATGGCTTTTCTATTCTTCTGTCTTGGACATTGTGTTGTATCATTTCATAATAGCTTGGATTGACTTTAGTAATATAGAAGGTTGAAAGTCAAAGTGAAGCACTATATGTGAAAGTGTGTAAAATAAAGGAGAGTTTTTTTTTTTTTTTTTTTTTTTTTTTTTTTTTTTTTTTCGCATTACTATATAGATAACCATATACAGTGGAACTCTGGATTTTGTGCACACTGAATATCATAGGTTTTGGATTTAGACCACTTTCTGGGGTGAAATTTTGGTCTGGATTTTATACCTTCATCTGGAAATCGTATGTATCAGATGCGTCCCGCCCACCTCGGATGCCGCCACTCTCATGTGAACGTGTCTCAGTCTGACTCTGTCGCTAGTTGGGTGAGCATTCATCCGAAACATTTCGCATTTTTTGTGCTTGTTTATTGATTGCGACTGTGAAATAAGCCACCATGGGCCCAAAGAAAGTTCCTAGTGCCAGCCCTTTGGTAAAGAAGGTGAGAAACACGATAGAATTCAAGAAAGAGATTGTAGAAAAATATGAAAGTCGTGTACATTTAGCCGAGCTCGCCAGGATGTATGGGAAATTGAAATCAACAATCTCTTCCATCCTGGCAAAAAAAGTAGAAATCAAGGAAGCTAAAGTTGTGATAGGGGTTAATTTGCTAACGAAAGAGAGATCACAAACAATCAGAGATGTGGAGTTGTTGTTGGTGTGGATCAATGAAAAACAGTTAGCGGAAGATAGTGCTGTGGAGCCGATCATTTGCGAAAAGGCAAGGCAGTTGCATGCGGATCTCGTAAAGAAAATGCCTGGAACAAGTGCTGCTGTTAGTGAATTTAAGGCCAGCAGAGGCTGGTTCAACAGATTCAAGAAGCGTAGTGGCATACACAGTGTTGTAAGGCATGGCGAATCTGCAAGTTAAGACAAATGTGCGACCGAAGAATTTGTTGATGAATTCAAGGAGTATGTAGAGGCTGAAGGATTCCTCCCCCAACAAGTGTTCATTTGTGATGAAACAGGCCTCTTTTGGAAGAAAATGCCAAAGAGGACCTGCATCACACAGGAGGAAAAAGGCACTGCCAAGACACAAGCCTATGAAGGATAGGCTAACTCTTTTGTTCTGTGGTAATGCTAGTGGGGATTTCAAAGTGAAGCTTTTACTGGTGTATCACTCTGAAAATCCCAGAGTGTTCAAGAAAAACAGTGTTGTCAAGAGTAAATTGTGTGTAAAGTGAAAAGCTAATAATAAGGCTTGGATCATGAGGCAAATTTTCATTGACTGGGTCCATGAAGTGTTTGGTCTGAGTGTGAAAAAATACCTCCTGGAAAATAAATTGCCACTGAAGTGCCTCCTGGTAGTGGACAATGGTACTGCTCATCCTCCAGACTTGGAAGACCAGTTGTTTAGGGAATTCAGTTTTATAACAGTGAAGCTAGTGCCTCCTAACACCACTCCTCTCATCTAGCCCATGGACCAGTAGGTCATTTCTAACTTCAAAAAACTCTACACGAAAGAAGTGTTTCAAAGGTGCTTTGAAGTGACCTTGGACACTGCATTAACCCTAAGAGAGTTCTGGAGGGATCACTTCAATATCCTCCATTGCATAAGCCTTATAGGTAAGGCTTGGCAGGAAGTGACTTTCAGGACTTTGAACTCTGCTTGGAGAAAATTGTGGCCAGAATGTGTCCTCAAAGATTTTGAAGGGTTCGAGGCTGACCCTGTCGACCCTACGCCTGTTGTGGAACGTATCATGTCTTTGGGGAAGTCCATGGGATTGGATGTGAGTGGCCAGGATGTGGAAGAGTTGGTGGAGGACCACAGGGAAGAGCTAACCACTGAAAAGCTGCAAGACCTTCATCTGGAACAGCAAGAGACCACAGCTGAGGAAATTACTTCAGAGGAGGAGGAAGAGAGAGGGAGGAGAAGGTGCCTTCTTCAGTGATTAAGGCTATTTGTGCAAAGTGGAATGAGGTGCAAACTTTTGTTGAAAAATATTGTCCTGACCAAACTGATACAAGCTGTATCAGCACCATGTTCAGTGACAATACCTTGTCCCATTTTAGGCAAATCTTAGCGATGCCAGAAACAGCTCTCTAGACAGTTTTTAGTGTGACAGGGGTCCAGTGCCAGTAGAAGACAAAGCAGGGAAGTAACCCCGGAGAGGGCTTTGATACCTGAAGTCCTTATGGTGGGGAGATTCCCTTTCCAAACAATAATCTCAACTTCCTCTCCCCTCCTCACCTTCAATACACCAACAAGAGTCTTCACTAAAGATATGTCAAGTTCATTTATCATTAAAATTAGCCATTTATATTTATTTCTCATCGTTTTTTGTATGAAAACTATAATTATTCTTTAAAAAATGTATTTTTTTGTTAATATTTTTGGGTTTCTGCAACGGATTAATTGTATTTACATTATTTCTTATGGGAAATATTACTTTGGTTTTTGTACGTTTTGGATTTAGACCGACTTTCTGGAAAGATTAAGTACGAAATCCGAGGTTCCACTGTATTGTACCCTTCCTCTGTATCCTAGTCTTATTACCATCTCGCCTAATAGTAACCTATGCCGACTTATTTTAAAATTTCATAAAATATATTTTGAGACAATGGTGTGATGTAGTTATTTTATTCTCTCACTTGCTAACCAGTGATTGATTCAATATTTTCTTTGTCATCAGTCCATTCTAAGCATTTTTTAAATTATTTTTAGGCTGGGTACGTGAAGTGGTACGACGTGCCATTGCCGAGAAGAAAAGATGTGATGTTTATTATCATCCACCCAAAGGTCGGAAGCTTCGATCTCGTGTAGAGATTGTAAAGTATTGTAAGTAACGTCTTAGAAGGCAGCATAAAGTACCTGTATGTTAAGTAATGTATTAGTAGGCAGTGTAAAGTATTTGTATATTAAGCAATATCTTAGTAGGCAGCATAAGGTATCTACATGTTAAGCAATGTATTAGTAGGCAGCATAAAGTACCTGCATGTGGGATTTAATAAGCACTTGCAGTTTGTGTATGATTGTTGCTTAGTTTTCCATATTACTGCATCATTAAACATATTCTACTTTAAGTAAATTTATTCATGTGATATGCTAAATTAAAATAAGTTTTGTATTTGATTTGAAAATTATCTTATTTTTGAGTACAGTAGAACCCCGATATCCGGGGGTTCAGTTTTCCTGGTTTCAGTTATCCGCAGTTTACTGTGGCTTAAAAATATCAAGAGGGGGAGCAGGATTCAGCTAGGAAAATTTTAATAATAGTCCAATTTCAATTATTTTTTTATTGTAAGTTAAGAAGATGGTCCAAACTGAATACTAAAAATTTCATGAAGTTTGCCTAAAAATAAGAAGAGAAAAAATAATGATTTTTGATATGGCAACATGTTGGAAAAATTTATTCAAAATTGTTAATGTTTAAGATGTTGTAGTTGTCTTTACATGAACAAGTAAAGGCTGAAGACAAATTGTATGGAGGGACTTGAACTACATTAATTAAAGAATATTACAAAGTCCCTTCATTAGATTGTAAAACTATGATACCTGAATAATGTGTGTAAAAATCATAATGAATAACAAAGAAAATTTTACTAATAGGAGAATAACTTACTTTTGAAGAAAAAACTCAATCTCTCCCCAGTATAAAACACCGATTATAAAATAATCATAATAAGTAGTATTGTATATAGGTAGTAAGTTGGTTGACAGCAACCCCCCCAAGGAGGTACTACTGTCCTGCCAATTGATTGTAAAACGGAGCCTGTATTTGTTTTACGTGATGGTAGGATTGCTGGTGTTATTTTTCTGTCTCAAACATGCAAGATTTCAAGTACGCCTTGCTACTTCTACTTAGACTTAGGTCACACTACACATGCATAGACAAGCATATATATGTACACATGCCCCTCTGGGTTTTCTTCTATTTCCTTACTAGTTCTTGTTCTTGTTTATTTCCTCTTATCTCCACAGGGAAGTGGTACAGAATTCTTCCTCCGTAAGCCATACATGTCGTAAGAGGTGATTAAAATGCCGGGAGCAAGAGGCTAGTAACCCATTCTCCAGTATACATTACTAAAGTTAAAAGAAGAAGCCTCCTTTTTTCCTTTTAGGCCACTTGCCTCGGTAGGATACGGCCGGTTTGTTGAAAGAATAATAATAATATGTGAAACAGAAACCTGTAACTGTTTTGCATGATGGTAGGATTGCTGGTTTCTTTTTCTGTCTCATAAACACGCTAGATAACAGGGATATCCTGCTACTCCTACTTACACTTTTGTCACACGCACATGCATATATATATACATACATCTAGGTTTTTTCTCCTTTTTCTAAATAGCTCTTGTTCTTCTTTATTTCTTCTATTGTCCATGGGGAAGTGGAAAAGAATCTTTCCTCCGTAAGCCATGCGTGTCGTATGAGGTGACTAAAATGCCGGGAGCAATGGGCTAGTAACCCCTTCTCCTGTAGACATTTACTAAAAAAGAGAAGAAGAAAAACTTTATAAAACTGGGATGCTTGAATGTGCATGGATGTAGTGCGGATGACAAGAAACAGATGATTGCTGATGTTATGAATGAAAAGAAGTTGGATGACCTGGCCTTAAGCGAAACAAAGCTGAAGGGGGTAGGGGAGTTTCGGTGGGGGGAAATAAATGGGATTAAATCTGGAGTATCTGAGAGAGTTAGAGCAAAGGAAGGGGTAGCAGTAATGTTGAAGGATCAGTTATGGAAGGAGAAAAGAGAATATGAATGTGTAAATTCAAGAATTATGTGGATTAAAGTAAAGGTTGAATGCGAAAAGTGGGTCATAATAAGCGTGTATGCACCTGGAGAAGAGAGGAATGTAGAGGAGAGAGAGAGATTTTGGGAGATGTTAAGTGAATGTATAGAAGCCTTTGAACCAAGTGAGAGAGTAATTGTGGTAGGGGACCTGAATGCTAAAGTAGGAGAAACTTTTAGAGAGGGTGTGGTAGGTAAGTTTGGGGTGCCAGGTGTAAATGATAATGGGAGCCCTTTGATTGAACTTTGTATAGAAAGGGGTTTAGTTATAGGTAATACATATTTTAAGAAAAAGAGGATAAATAAGTATACAAGATATAATGTAGGGCGAAATGACAGTAGTTTGTTGGATTATGTATTGGTAGATAAAAGACTGTTGAGTAGACTTCAGGATGTACATGTTTATAGAGGGGCCACAGATATATCAGATCACTTTCTAGTTGTAGCTACACTGAGAGTAAAAGGTAGATGGGATACAAGGAGAATAGAAGCATCAGGGAAGAGAGAGGTGAAGGTTTATAAACTAAAAGAGGAGGCAGTTAGGGTAAGATATAAACAGCTATTGGAGGATAGATGGGCTAATGAGAACATAGGCAACGGGGTCGAAGAGGTATGGGGTAGGTTTGAAAATGTAGTGTTAGAGTGTTCAGCAGAAGTTTGTGGTTACAGGAAAGTGGGTGCGGGAGGGAAGAGGAGCGATTGGTGGAATGATGATGTAAAGAGAGTAATAAGGGAGAAAAAGTTAGCATATGAGAAGTTTTTACAAAGTAGAAGTGATGCAAGGAGGGAAGAGTGTATGGAGAAAAAGAGAGAGGTTAAGAGAGTGGTGAAGCAATGTAAAAAGAGAGCAAATGAGAGAATGGGTGAGATGTTATCAACAAATTTTGTTGAAAATAAGAAAAAGTTATGGAGTGAGATTAACAAGTTAAGGAAGCCTAGAGAACAAATGGATTTGTCAGTTAAAAATAGGAGAGGAGAATTATTAAATGGAGAGTTAGAGGTATTGGGAAGATGGAGGGAATATTTTGAGGAATTGTTAAATGTTGATGAAGATAGGGAAGCTGTGATTTCGTGTATAGGGCAAGGAGGAATTACATCTTGTAGGAGTGAGGAAGAGCCAGTTGTGAGTGTGGGGGAAGTTCGTGAGGCAGTAGGTAAAATGAAAGGGGGTAAGGCAGCCGGGATTGATGGGATAAAGATAGAAATGTTAAAAGCAGGTGGGGATATAGTTTTGGAGTGGTTGGTGCAATTATTTAATAAATGTATGGAAGAGGGTAAGGTACCTAGGGATTGGCAGAGAGCATGCATAGTTTCTTTGTATAAAGGCAAAGGGGACAAAAGAGAGTGCAAAAATTGTAGGGGGATAAGTCTGTTGAGTATACCTGGTAAAGTGTATGGTAGAGTTATTATTGAAAGAATTAAGAGTAAGACGGAGAATAGGATAGCAGATGAGCAAAGAGGCTTTATGAAAGGCAGGGGGTGTGTGGACCAGGTGTTTACAGTGAAACATAAAAGTGAACAGTCCCTCAACCTTGAGGTTGAGGGACTGATTACCTCATTCTCCTTCTGTTCTTCAAGTTTCTCCTACGTATGGACTGATGAAGCCACTGTGTGGCGAAATGTTTCCTCAATAAAGATACCCAAGAGTTGCACATGTGTCTAATTTATCAACATGTCGGTTCTCTGAACCATTCATCTACAAATGTCTTGTACTATGTTGATACACATCTCTGCCCACACCAACTGCTCATTCACCTCCTTTTCTGCCAGTGTCCACACCCTCACTCTACGTCCAGCAACAGTCTCCCTACCCATACCATCTGCCCCTATAATTCCTCTACAGCCACCTGCCTTCAACCAGCAACCTCCCCCTCCCCCCCCACACACACAGTCTGCCCATACAATTGCCCCCATGGTCACACTCTTACACCTATACCATTTCCCCATAACCACCATTACCTCATGGCCACATTCCCGCTATGACCTCACCCACACACTTTACCTGCCCTTTCACCTTAACATGCCATCCACATACCTAATCATTTAGTTACCCCCCATGCTCGTTACCACCAACTGCACAATCGCTCATCCAGTTACCCATCATCCAGTCACCCATACCAGGCCACTGACATAAACACCTTTTACCCACACCACTCCCCCCCCAGCTTCTAGTCATCACAACACCACATCCACACTTTACCCATGCTTTCATACCCCCCACACCCTAACATGCCATCTACACTTCTAGTCTTGTAGCCACCAACCACCCTAATTACTGCCCACACCAACTGCGCACACACACCTACTCAGTCACCCATCATCCACACTACCACCCACACTGGGGCATTGACAAAGCCACCCACATGGTCACTACCACACCACCTTGTTGCTTCCAGCCTCCATCCCTACACCCCTCCAACACCCGACATCATAGGTATGTGTGTAATTGAGAAACAACTTTATATATAGGGTTTGCTACTCTCCGCAGTTTCGGGCATCCGAGGTAGGTCTTGGAATGTATCATCCAGAAATATAGGGCAACTACTCTATATTTTCTTTGGCATTTGTTGGCCATGCTTCATTCTCAAGAATGGTCCTAGTTTTGCTTACTAAGTGATTAAAATTGAATTTTACAAATGTTTGTCCTGCAGGGGACAACTAGTAATTATAATCTCTTGTCTTGTACATAATAATGACTTAAGTGAGGAGTTTTTGTTCCTTGTATGTAACTGTCATTTTTTGTTTAATTGTTGTGTGACTAAAGTATCTTCATTAATGGACCCCAGTAATATAACTTGCATTACCAAAGGATTATTAGATTAAATTTTGATTTTAGCATTTTCACTAAATGCTTTGTTAAATATGATTAGCAGAAATAAGAAACAGAAAGAGCACTGCTTAAGTATCTGTAATAAAGCTAATGAGTTGCTCGGTTTATGTAGATTGGTAAAAGCATCAGGAGTTTAAAGGTTATTCTACAACTCCACACATCATTAATAAAACCTCATTTAGATTATGCAGTGCAACTTTGGTCTCTGTGCTACAAAA